GCTGCGCTGGCCAGGCTGATGCCGAATATCGGAGGCCCCAGCGAATGGAAGAGGAAACTGCTCGGCACCGTCGTAGATAGCCAGTTGCTCTACGCAGCACCCTCCTGGATCGGCAGGGCGTCCGTCGTGGCCAGAACCAGAGCCAACCTGATCCGCCCCCAGAGAGCGGCAGCGCTGAGGACCATTCGGGCCTACCGCACAGTCTCGGACGAGGCTGCCCTGGTTTTGGCCTCGACGGTGCCAGCGGACCTCCTCGGCCTGGAACGCGGCAGGATCCAGTCGCGCCTGACTGCGGAGATCGCTCCCGATACACCGCGGCCATCCAAGGCCTTCGTCAGGAGAGAAGAAAGAGTGCGGACCATTGTAGCTTGGCAGCACCGATGGGAGTCCACTACAAAGGCGTCATGGACTAGGCGTTGCATCCCGTCGATTGGAAGATGGTTGGGTAGAACGGTCCCGCTAGTGCCTCTGTCGTACCACATGACACAGGCACTTTCGGGACACGGCTGCTTCCAGTCCTACCTTTATAAGCGTGCCAGGGCCCCCAGCCCAATGTGTCTGCAGTGACTTGCGGAAGAGGATACAGCCGAGCACACGCTCCTGGGTTGCCCCTACTGGAGCGCCTTCCGGGCCCCCCTGGTCACCCAGCTGGGACACAGCCCATCCGTAGCCGACATCGCCAACATCGTGTGCGGCCCTCCGTTCGACCAGCTGCCAGCCGACCAGCACGAAAAGTGGGCACTCCTCAGAGCCGCCGAGGAAACGTTCCGGGGGTTCTACCAGATGGTCGAGGGGATCCTGACGGCGAAGGAAGACGAAGAGAGAGCCCGCCAGGCAGCAGTGCCAGATTGAGTATACTTAGTTAAGTCACCTTACCTGTAGCCGAAGGCACCGTTGGGAGGGTAGAGCCTCCCGTTTGTTGTAAAAACTATAACCGAGACCGGTCCTCCTGCCCGAAAATAGAAGCAAAGTCGTCTACCGTAGCCGAAGGCACCGTTGGGAGGGTAGAGCCTCCCGTTTGTTGTAACCATTATACTTGTTATTATTAAGTGATGAGTAGTAGCGGGGGACTGTCCCACTACTACATTTATTGTAATGTGTTTTGATTTCTTTTCAATAAACGATGGGGGCCAGAGGGGAAGTAATGCTAACGCGGTCCCCTCTCTGGTTCTCGATACCACACAAAAAAAAAAAAAAAGTACTATTATATAATATTTTCTAACAATTCTCAATTTACAAGCACTATGCGATATGCGTGATGCGTCTGCGTCATTAGTGTACTAGACAGTGTCTCAGTAACAAATATTTTTTTTTTTGCGTATATGTTAAATTTATTGAATTTACCCATTACCTATTTATTAAAATGTTCAGTANGAAGATCTGAGGACAAACTAGCTGCTGTGAGGTCAATGCTTGATCAATTTGTATATAATTGTAAAACAAGTTACTGCCTTAGTGAATATTTGACCATTGACGAAATGTTAGTCCCATTTAGAGGTCGTTGTAGTTTTATTCAGTATATACCAAGTAAACCTGCAAAATATGGCTTGAAAATATTTGCACTGGTTGATGCAAAATCATTTTATACAGGGAATTTAGAAATTTATTGTGGGACGCAACCAGACGGGCCTTACAATATGTCTTCCAAGCCATTTGATATTGTCATGAGATTACTTGACAATGTAACGGGATCAAATCGTAACCTAACATGTGATAATTGGTATACTAGTTATCCCTTGGCTACTGAATTACTAAAAAAGCAAACAACTATAGTAGGAACATTGAGAAAAAATAAAAAGGAGATTCCAGTAGACTTTCAACCACATAAAAATAAATCAATTAATTCTTCATTTTTTGGATTTCAAAAAGAAATAATGATAACATCATATACTCCTAAAAAAAATAAAGCTGTAATTCTATTATCAACTATGCATAATGATACGTCAGTAAATAGTGAGACAAAAAAACCTGAAGTTATACACTTTTACAATTCCACAAAAGGAGGCGTGGACACTGTCGACCAAATGTGTGGGAATTATTCAGTCTCTAGAAGAACACGCAGATGGCCTTTATCAATATTTTTTCAACTTCTCAACATTGCAGGTATAAATGCAAATATTCTGTATAACAATACACAAATAGAAAAAAAACATAAGAATAGGAGGTCATTTCTAAAATCACTTTCAATGAATTTGATGAATAATCACTTGAGTGAAAGATCACAGATGACAAATCTCCCTACTGACATAAAACATTTTTTATCAAAATATGAAACAAAAGAAGTGGACGTTCAAGAACCTCCAACAAAAATACGAAGTCGGTGCTATTTGTGTGGAAGAGCCAAAAATAGGGTGACAACAATACAATGTTCTTCATGTCAGAAGTTTACATGTAAAGAGCACGTAAAACTGTAAAAGCTGTTGTCAGATGTGAAAGATGTATAATAAGTCAGGATAGTCAGGATAGTGAGTAAGATTTAATTTAAGTTAGTAAAAATTATTTGACAATTAAGACATTTTTACTTTTATCAATTATAATATATAGTAATAACAAAATTTTTTTTTTATTAAATTTTCTTTTTATAATTAAATTTAAAACAATATTAAGTAGTACTTTGTTCTTTTATTAGTAAATAAAGTCAAATATATATGCAATACGACATTGATTTCTGTGTAAAACAAATTGGTGTATAAAATACACCGCGCGTGTAATTATTGAAAAAAAAATGGCGCGTGTAGCTAAGGGCTAGTACTAGCACAGAACAAACAGAAGGGAATCTTAAGGCTCATCGAAAAACCGTTCGACATTTCTGAATTTTAAACGTGCTGCCACATACCGAGAAATTCCTTTTTTTTAAGTTTTCTGTGGTTTGTGACTACACTGTTAGTCGGCAATTTCACTCATAACAACAACAACACATGGTTAACCATACCTGATAACATAGATTATAAATCGGTTTGATCACGATTAAAGATATACAGGTTGCACATCGTCCTATAATAAACGGTTTTCAGATTGATTTACAAAGTGACTATATAAANTTGATTATTTTCCGATTATGTGATAAGACAACTGTAGTGATATGTGATACTGATAACACTATTGCTGATAAGAGGCGCTGTCTCTAGACGCTCGTATTATAAATCGGTTTGATCACGATTAAAGATATACAGGTTGCACATCGTCCTATAATAAACGGTTTTCAGATTGATTTACAAAGTGACTATATAAAACAGCTGTAAATAATTAACTCTAGCGCCCATGTGTCGAAATTCAGAACTAATTTTAAAGTATCTCGCATATTATTATGATAATATGCAGGTGATATAATATACTTTACCGCCTTTTTAATATTTGAAAGTGACTGTGAATCGGTATTCGTATTTATCGTAACATTATTACCTATTTAAAATGACTTGCTGTGTTCCTTCATGTAAATCTAAAAATAAAAGTACTTTCCTTCTTCCTAAAGATGAAACTTTGTTGCATCTGTGGGAACAATCGATTAGCTTTAAATTAAAGCCAACTTCCAGAATTTGCGAATTACATTTTGAAACAGACGACGTTATAAAAACATGGGAATCTGGTCAAGGTATAAATAAATATATTGTAAGTATAAAATATCAATTTTATTTCATTAACAAATCCTTAATATTAAAATTAACTAAAAGTTGAAGAATTAAAAAAAAATTGATGTAATTATTGAAGATGGATGTTGGGAATTGGATGATGTTTTGTTAGACCATGATTATGCAGATGCAACAGTATTTGATTGTGTAGTCTATTTTTTGGCAGGGTAATAACTTAAAAACCTCTAAATTTATTTTATAAAAAAATATATATTAATATTTACATAAATATATTTAATAGATACATAGCAAAGCGTTTAGTTAACAAAACTAAATGCTTAATTTGCATTGAAGGATTAAACTTAAATACGTCATCAGTAGGCCAAGAGGCTGCTTTAGTCCAAGCAAAGAGTAAAGGATACCTTACACATCCAGACCACAATTTATTTAAAACTAATGCCGGGTTGCATGAAAAAATTATTAATTTAACGGCCCAATAAAATTAAAATGGACCAATCATGGGCCGCTAAACCATGTTTAAGGGATCATTAGCTCACTATTGATTCGTTAAATGTTAAGTGATTGCTTATGCAACCAGGCAATGTTTGAAAAACATGCTAACTCAAATGATGTGTTTGAGATGTTAACGAATATTTTTTCATATTACATTACAATGAGAATGAGACAGTACACTTATCAAGAAAATCAAAAAAACCTAAAAAAAAAATAAAACTAAAAAAAAATTGTCTAAATTAGTTACATGTTAGAATTTTTATTTATACCTAGTGTTTATGTTTATAATAGTTAATAGTTTATAGTTTTAAAGTTTATAGTTATAACTAATAAATATGTCTTACATTTATTTCAAAGGAAAAATAGTATTTACTTTTAATTTTAATAATGTTATGAACACAATTTAAAATACACTTTGGACCACGGTTAAAGATATATATTGTTAACATTTATAATATGGAATATTTCCGCTTGGAGCGCTACACATTAATTGTTGCAATAGTCATATCGTATATGAGAAATATGAGAGAGATGGGGGTCGTTCTCCGACAAACATAAATTTGATAACATAATTTAACCTCAAATATTGTCCAATACCAACATAATTTGAATTAAATTGATATTAGGGAAATGTTGTACCAAACATACTACCGTACTTGTCGAAGTATCGGACTATTATTGAACAAAATATATTACAACATGAACATACCAAATTATTATTAAGCTCTGGTAATTTTTATAAAAATGGAAATTTAATCGTTATCAAATTACATTAAAAGTAAAGTAACTTGGCAATATAAAAATGTATAATGCATAATGAAAACGAAATACATTTTTACGACGATGACGACTAATAAATAAATTTAAGAATGTTGTTATCTTGCCCAAGTTTATTTGTATAATAAAAAAACACATTAAAATATCTCTCACATAGCCGTGCACATAATATGGACAATTACAGTAAAGATATCAATGATCTTTTAATCAACATTTTATCTTATTAAATATTAAAGCATGAAGTAAAATGGCAAGAATACCCAATACAATTATATAATCTTTAACAGATATTAGGATCTACCTGAATATCCTATAAAATAGCTTTGTAGATATTATACAATATATTACTTCTCAATGACCTTTACAATAAAGGGTATAAGCTTTAGTAAAATATTATCTATCTTATCTTTTTCTACATTTAATACATTAATAGACTACAAAATTGTACATCAATTGCATGTGCATATTATGGTCATTGCTCTGTCATTCCTTTTGAGCTTTGAATGTTGTATTGTTGTATACTATTTCACTTCATATTGAGACTTATTGTGCACTTATATAATTATCCAATATGAATAGAGAACATTTAGATGAGCATAATTACTTTTTGAATCTTCCGGAACAAAATATTGAGGATGTAGATGAAGAAGTCAACGGTAAGTACTTTTTAATATATAATTATTAATTAATATATATAAAAATAATAATATAAAAATAAAATAGAAATTATTACATTCAGTTCATTTGTATGGCATATATAAGGTATTACATTGGAATTATCTATCAATTACATATTAATTTTCACTATATTTCTACAGTTCAAGAACAAGCAATGACATACAAAATAATTCCTGGTGTTAGACTTAAGTCTCAAATATTTTTGGACAATTTAAATCACCGATACTACAAAAGTAAAAGTCGAATTAATAAAATGTGAGTAAAAAAAAAATTATTTTGAGATTTGGTTTATAATTTATAACTATTTAGATATTTAGTATGCGAAAACCAAAAAAATCGCAGAGAGTTTTGTTCTGCCACTGCCTATATAAGCACAAACATGAACGATAATGTTATAACAGTACTAGGACAACACAACCATGATCCTCGGTTAGTAGATGTTCCTATGGTTCATTTGAGAAGAGCTATTGGTACAGCAGGTACAAAACCTGGAACTATGTCCAGCTCTGTTAGAGAAATTTATAACAGAGAAATAGTCGAGTATGTTAAAGAAGTTCAATAATACATAGTTTTAAGTTTAACTAATGGCCATGGTGTTGCTGTAGAGTATTGTCATAACTTATAAGAACAATAAAAAAAAAAGTAATTATAAAAATAATACAATTATTTACTGCCTTAGAAATCCAGAAGGTGCAGTAAATTATACATTTTTGCAATCCCAATTGTGTGTAAAAAAAATGCGTCGGCGCCGTCATCCAAAGAACCCTTCTACAATCGAAGAACTGATAGATATCTTGAGCCAGCAACAAAATTCAGCATATGGATCAACAATGCAGAATCCATCCTCAAAGTAACATTGTACAAGCATTATCTATAAAAATAAAATATTTTTATAAATTTTTATTTAGTTTTTTTCAACAACAATTACCATTAATGGCAGAAGGCGAAAGGGTTGGCATAGTTTTTGCAAATTTAGATGCTATTCAAAAGTATAGGGAAGAGCTCTTTACAGTAACCGTTGCAGGTATTGATGGGACTTTTAAAACGGTTCCCAGATGTCCACCTCAGTTCACCAAAGGTTGTCTTTTGACATTTCAAGTGGTTTTAAAAAATGTAGTAAGTACAATTTTATTAGTATAAATAATTAAATTTTTCTGAAGTACATACCTATTAACTGTATTTTACATTTAAGTCTTTTCCAATGGTTTATGCGCTAACTTCAAAAATGACCCAGGCTGCATATGAATCGTTTTTGATAATTACTCGCCAGATTTTGCCATTAAACTATGCGGAGCTAGTAATTATTTCAGATTTTGAAANTTATAATTCAAATAAAAATTAACTAACACAGAAATTGAAAAATCAGTTATTCACTTTACAGAGTACAGACTTCATATTTTGGAACATAAACACAAAAGACACTGAGGCGAGTAAGCAAGTTGCAAACTTGCAACTTACAACTTTATTACTTATTAGGTTAGGCTAAAGCACGATTATAAAGATTCTTTATAATCGTCGTTTAAGGTAATTACTAATTGCCTCTGTTCAGGGAATAACAGTCGCGCTAGAAACAAAGAATAATGGGAATTATCTTTCTACCGGCAGCACTGATATTCCACCAGGTGTTGCAAATCTGTGCCCCATAAGAACCCATGTTAAACTGAAAAGGTGTCTCTTCTGGTTATTCTGTGGTATAGATATCTGTGAGTACTAGTTAACATTGATTATGATTCTAATACCAGAATCAGAATGTACAATGTTGCCACTTTATTTAGATATCATTAGCACTCCACAAATATTTTTTTTCCCGGAGTTATCACATTTTTTATCTAAATACATTTGTTTTAATATTAATATGATCTTAACGCGAATTGTACTACTGATAAAAACCTAAATAGGCTCTAAATGCACCTTGTGCAAATAATTTTATCATATTATATGAACATGTGCTAATGTATGATAAGAAATATAACAGATTATTTTGAATTTTGTTTGTGATATTAAATAATACCTAATTATTATTTATTGCTAAGTTATTTAATATTTTATTATGATTTATGACAACTGTCTAAAGGTACGGTTTCGTTTCTGCAGTTGACTGCAGCGGCGGCTGCACGCAGTCGCTGCTGCGTCCGCCGCATTTAGTGCTTACATGGGTTTTTACAGAAACGGTTTTGTTTACGCGACCGCCGCACCTGCTGCATGCAGTCGACTGCAGCGACTGGTTGTGTGACCAGTGGTGTGCAGTCGGTCGCAAGTCATCACTAGTAGTCGCAACGACTGAATTCATTTTTTGAAGACTATTTTCATTTGGTTCCCTCAACAAAATGAGTTTTTCAAAAGATGATGATGCAAAACTTTGCGAACTTGTGTCCAGCTATCCATCATTGTATGACTATAGTCATAAAGATTTCAAAGACATTACATTAAAGGAAAATATATGGAAAGAAATTGCGACTTCATTGGGAAATAATAAAACTGGTAAGTGCCTATATTATAATATGATATTATCTACATTATTTTAATCAGAATATCAGAATATCAGAGCCATAACAAGTTTCATTAGTGGTATTGACCATCATAGCATATTTCCGTTGTTAAAAATTTTAAAATAAAACTACTAGTTACTACTAGTTTACAGTTGAAGTATGTTCCGAGGTGGTGGTATAAGCAGAGTATAAAATGATTATTATAAACAAATTGTAACAATAATCAAATAATCAATAATTGGCATTTCACTGACAATCACTGTAAAATACGTAATATTTTTTTGTATAAAATAAATTGTTTTGAGCGTTATTAAACTTTTTAGCATTATTAATTTATAATGACAAATATATTAGATTATCTAGACATATATAATTAAATATTAAATTTTTAGTCAAAATTAAAAACAAACTTAAATATTATAGAAATTTAAAATAATAATATAATTTATTATTATTGTTATTAGTAATCTAAAATTAAACATTAATTACTAATAATAATTAAAGAAATAGTGGAAAATACTAATAAGTAGGGATAAATATTAATAGACAATAAAGGATTATCATAAAAAAATATTATGTTCTAAAAACTATTTGGTTTTGCCAATTTAATTTTCCTTCTTCATTGAAAAATGATTTAAAGGCATCCCGAACTTCAAATCCTTCAGTATTTCCATACCCTCCATGCCTGACCAATGGTAACATATTTGTATGTGTAGTATCTATTGGTTCTTGTTCTATTTGTTGTATATGACGCTCTTCATACCCATCGCGAATTAAATTATGCAAACAACATGTAGCAGTAATTAATAAATCACAAGTTTCCGGTTTGATTGCGATAGGTGTGTAATAAATTCTAAATATTTGACTTAAAAGTCCAAACGCGTTTTCAGACACACGTCTTGCTCGAGATAATCTGTAATTAAAGATTTGTTTTTCAAAATCTTCCTTGGCTTGCGATCTATTGTAAGGTTTCATAATGTGGGTATGTAACCTGAAAGCTTCATCTCCGACTATGATGTATGGTAAACTTTTGTCAGAACCGGGGAGTTGAGTGTTTTCAGGTAATCCAAATTGTTTTGAGTAAATCCGTTTTCCCATAACAGATTTTGAAAATATTCCGCTATCTCCCTCTTTCCCATATGATCCTACGTCAATAGCTATAAACTTAGACTTAGCGTCAACAATCGCTAGTAGCACAATTGAAAAATAGTTTTTATAATTGTAGTAGAGAGATCCTGACTTTTCTGGACATACAACACGGACATGTTTGCCATCTATGGCTCCCACACAGTTCGGAAAATTCCACCTCTCCCAAAATTCTACTGCTCGAGCTTTGAAATCAGTTTTGGTAGGTTGTGGTAAAAGTATAGGCGTTAAATTTGCACATATAGCTGATAACACTTGTTTTATAATATTCGAAATTTCACTATGTGAAATTCGAAAATTATATGCCAATGATCGATATGATTCCCCAGTTGCTAGGTACCTAAAAATTATATTAAAATATTAAAATATTTACTAATAAATAGGTACGAATAATAAATATTTGGGATATCAGCTAGAGGCGGGTCGAACTGCTCGAAGTTTGAAAAATCGAACCGAACTTTAGGTGTTCGGTTCGAGTTCGAAAGTCGAACCAAGTTTTAAAAAAACCGAACCGAACCGGACTCGAACAAAAAAGTTCGAAAATTAAAATAGTTCGAAGACAAAAAATGCAGGAACAGCAAAAAATTCTAACATGTCAAACGTTTCGAACTAAAAATGTTCCCGGTGTTTATTTTATTTAAAATTGTTATTTTGTCTATATAGTTATATAGTATATACTATATTTTATATTATACTATGTATTTAAATTTTAAATATTACAAAAGTAAAATTATAACCACGATAGTGTCCGGGCATTGATTAATTCTTGTGCTGTTGAATTATTTTTAGACTTCGATAATTATTTTTATTTTGTCGTTTTGTACTATTTATTATTTATATAATCGAAGTTTGTATCACGCAGAACAATAATAAAAGCTAATAATAATAATATAGATTAATGTTTATTTTTATTGATTATAGACTACAGTCATTCATAAAATTAAAATATCTTTTAAATTTGCATTGTTAGTAAGGTTTACAAATTTGAAATCATATTATTACATTTTTAAATTTTCAAACAATTGGTAAAATAAAATAAAACTACCTAACAATTTTTACTCTATAGTCTATACAAAATGGATGGGTATAAAATTTAAATTATAAATGTATGATACTATAATATTATTATTCTAAAATCTAAACTAAAATTATAGAACCGACAAAACTTCAATTAAATTAAAATTTGCAGATGATCATTGTAAAAAGAGATGGCGTTCGATTCGGGACCACTTTAAGCGCCTTAAAAGAGAGGGAAAATTAGGGACTGGATCTGCTGCTTGTAAATCACCTAATTGGCCACTCTTTAAATATGTATCCTTCCTTTCACATGTTCCTGAAGAAAGGAGGTAATATTCTATTCCAATCTATTATAATTTGTATAGGCGTTTTAATTTTCTTTTTTAATAGGACCTTATCTAATTTATCGGACACCAGGCAAAACGAAGAGCTGAGTAATGACAGTATATTGGGAGATCAAGATATTGATGTTGAATGTCTTGATACTAGTATTGCATCGGTACAAACTCCACCACCAAGTGACACAGATGGAACCAAGTCAAGAAAAAGAAAATTGGAAAAAGTATCAGAAATGCTAGTTGAAAATAGAGAGTCAAGACTGAAATTAATAGAAACATTGAAAGATGCAAGTCAAAAACAAGAAGATGAAGTAGATGTATTTTATAAAAGTATTTCTCTTTCCGTAAAACGTCTTCCACCTTTATTGAGATCCGAAATCAAGATGCAACATTTACAAAGCTTACATAATATGGAACTAAAACACATGCAGAGTCAATCTCAATACCATCAACCATATTATCCACAACAAAACATACCCGACTATTCATTAGTTCATCAGGCTCAAACATATCAACCATTAGTTCGTCAGACTCAGACAGATCAACCAGAAAACCTAAACTGTCCATCTCAATCCACATCAAAACAATCATTTTATGAGAAACATCCTTATTGACATAATATCATAAAGAAGTGACTGATTTTTTTTTTATTCCATACCTAATTAAATATTTTTGTCTGTTTTCACTATTTTAATTTAATAAACTCTGAGCGAATTTAACTGCAATGTGTGATTTATTTGTTTTTAAAAAGTTAATTTTTTAACTTAACTAGGTTGTTAGTTTATTTTCTAATAAACTTTTGAACTAGTTTAATTGACAGTTGAAATAACTTAGATTTTCACATTTAATTTAAAAAAATAATCTATCAAGTTGAAATGTTGAAATTTTTCGTTTGTAATTTTTTTTCGTTTTATATAAAAATAATCGAACACTATAAAAAACATTTCTGTTATTTTTTTGACAAAAATAATTTTGTATATGGATGTATTTTAGTGGATTAGATAGCTGGCATTATATCATAAAATATACTGTACAATAACAATATTACTAGGCATATTAATATTTTTGCAGTACAAAAATGTGTATGGCAAATGGCAATAGACGCCTTTATAATTTTATAATACAAGACAGGTGTTGACAAAACAACGTGTTGACACAGGCTATAGGTGCCCGTTGGCCGTTTACTTGTATCAACAACGGGTCGACGTTTAAGCGGTGTGTTAAATAAATAAATACCTTAACGTTACAGCAAGTTTTTCCTTTGGTGTTATAGGAAACTTCACAGTAGTTGTTGGAGCTTTAAAAATATGCTGTGCGATGGCAGATAAAACAAAATCAAATTGACATTTTGTCAATCTAAAATAGTTTTGAAATTTACACTCATCATCGATGAGGTGTTTCATAATTAAATTTTCAAACGTCCCTTCATTACGCCTAGCTGTAAACATATTATGAACTTTTTTCCTTTTATTTTTATTCGCGAACAACAGATTTATGATTTGTTCATCTCGTTCTTCTTCTTCAAGAATATGTAGTAGAACAATCCTAGTAACGTCATCCATGGTTGAAAGTTGGTGATACACTGATACTGTGTAAACTGATAAGTTTAAATTTAACTGATTATTGTTGAAATTATTGAAATTATTAGTTGACTGCATGCAGTCAACTGCATAAACAAAACCAATGCTACTGCATGCGACCGTCGTTGCAGCAACTGCGTGCAGCCGCCGCTGCAGTCAACTGCAGAAACGAAACCGTACCTTAAGTGTAAAATCTAATTGCTAAATCAATAACTCATACATANCAGAAGTTAACACTAGTAACTTGTTAGTACTTTCAGCTTTGTTATTTGTACACATGGTTTTTTTAGAACACTATAAGCAGTTTTCCGGCCGTATTATACAATGTAGTATAAATTAAGGTTAAACCGCCGATTTAAAGTTTTACGAAAATGAGTTTTGATATTTTGTTTTTACAGTTGGTCACTCTGACTGTCGGAGTAAAAATTGGTTGTTATCATTTGTCGGAGAACGGCCCTCGTCCGATCGTATATCACCTTATCAGTAGTCGATGTGCAACCTGTATATCTTTAATCGTGGGTTTGATTCACGATTATAGATAGTACTATCACGTTTAAAATCTAGAAATGTCGGACGTAGTTTTATCATCTCTCATAAGAGCCCATGTTAAATGAAATAAGATTCCGTTCTGTTTGTTCTGTGTCTATACTAACTAGATATGGTACTAGACTAGTTTTACATTGACAATAGTGAAGCTCGGCGGCGCGCTCTTATCACGCATCCGCCATATTTTCGGGAGTCAAAACAATGATTTGAATGTATGAAAAAGATACAAGTTAAATTAATGTTCATGAAGTATTAAAAGATTTAAATTTAAACACGCATTCAATTTCAAACCATAACTATATAAATAATAAATCTTACATATTATATAGATTGATAAATGCATATTATAGCAACTATTTGGGACTTACTAAATAACTTGAATGGTAATAGTGTAGTCTCGTGAAATAAACCGCGTTACATCAGTTACATACACAGATATATTTTATATATTTTAAATTACTTTATATAATTATATGTCAGTTAATTAATAATAATAATATAATACAATAATTAATAATAATAATATAATACAATAATTAACTTCATAATATACAAATCACTTCATATCATACTCAATTAATTTCAAAGAAAAATGATTATTCAAATTTATAATTCAGGTATAAGGAGATATATATTTTTAATTTAATATATTATAATATTACTATAGAATACAAATATAAAAATGTCAATACAAAGTAAATAAATAACTAAATACAGTAAAGTAATGGTTGCAATATAATATGAATATATTACTAATGACTAGTATTTTTTGATTACTAATTTTGTTTTAAATAGGTTGGATACTTACCGGAAAAAATGAGTTGACTCTCCAGCTGAAGCCCTATTTTGACAGCCATACGCAACACACGAATGAGGCATATTTAAGTATTAATTAGGAGTACATTTTAAAATCGAATTCCACATGTTTGTCATGACATGTTTGTATTGTATCTAGGTTAATGCAGAAATATTTTGACCCCCGAAAAAATGGCGTCTACATCGACGGTGAGCTTCACCTGATAACGGGAGTTCGCTATCTAGTATAGTATAGA